TTTATCTTGGCCTTCCCTGCTGCCAGAACTCTGAGAAATAACTTCCCGTTGTTTATAAACCACCCCGCCTAGCATACACTGTTACAGAAGTTCTAATGCACATAGGACAGATCTTACATTTTAACACATTTTCCTTCCACTTTCTGTTGGTTTCTAATCCATCAAGATATTATGATTCTATTCACTAATTTATGCACTCACTCAGTTTCTGAACTAACAATTAGCAATGGGCCTTGCATTATACCACAGGTTTGAACAACAATCAAAAGCTGAATCTAAATTATTTTGGAAAAACAGTAGTGATGATACTTGCTGTAGAGCTGACATGAGCCATGAGTGACTTAAGCACCTTGTTACTGTGTCTGACGTCAGGTATGGATGTTTGCCAACTGTTGGTTACTGTCCCTTAATAAGTGTTAGTGGCTAAAAGCTACACATCCTGGCGCTCTGCCCAGTGTTCTATACTTCTAAAATATTACCTTCCTTATACAAAAAATTGTTTTGGGCCTGGGATTTAGCTCAGTGGTTTTGGCTGGCCTCTCAAGCTCAAGGTCACAAGTTCGATCCCCAGTACAAAAAAAAAAAAAAAAAAAAAGAAGAAATACAAACATTGTTTTCTGCCTAAGGAGCTAAAACTCTATAATACATGCTGCTATGTAGGCATATGTATCATGTCCCCATAGATTTTGATATTGAACAAATAAACATTTAGTGAATAAAACTTCCTCAGTATCATATTGATGTGAAAATAAATCGTTTGAAAGCTATTTACAAGCCCTTAAAGCTGTAGGCTATCAGGAGTGAAAGAGCACCTGGCGTTGGTATCAATACTCATAAAGTAGAATAGTGCTATTTCCACCTTTTCCCCCCTAGGCACTGAGATGTTTTTCACCTACTCATTTACATTTTCTTTGAATCCTCAAGCAATTTTCAAAAATAGCTCCTTTATGAAAAAAAACAAACTTATCAACAGACAAGCATTTCTCACTAGGAACAATGTCAAAAGGGAAGTCCATGTGTTCTGGGCTCTCAGCAGCTCTGCAGAAACCGCAGCCCTAAGCCCCTCTCCTCTCCCCCATCCTGTTTTCAACACAACACACACACACACACACACACACACACACACACCGCTCCTTTCCATGTGCCCAAGGATGCCTTTGCAGCTATACTAAAAAGTTGGACTAGAATTCAGTCCAACAGCTAGCTTTCTTGATGACTGGTTAACTAACCCACTTCTACAGTTTCCTACAATGTTTTCTATAAACATACACCAGGAAATCAGTATTAGTTGTAATTTCTAACAGTTTGCTCCGTAGACCCCAGTGTACATTTCATGGATTGGGTTGAGATACTGAAATTGCTTATGATCAGATTTTTTTTGACACAGAAAAGTAGCAATTTCGATGATGCCTAGAAAAAGTGTGTGGCATAGCTTAATGTTTGTTTTTCTGTTTCTCCCACTCTGAATTGAGAAGACTTTAAAGAGCAAAAAAAATATTTGACTATTTTGAATACAAGTCTCCAAGTTTAGCACTTGGCATCTCACTGGTGCTCACAAATCCTAGTAGGTAAGAGATCTACTCTCTCTTAGTGAGTTCCTATGCAACATACTGGATCACTCAGAGATCATTCTTAGCTGTAGAAGAGTCAGGGGCTGTCAGAATGGCAACTAAGTTGCTTCATGAGGCAAGATTTAGGCTTATTAGAGCCACTTTCTTTTGTTCAAGATTTACTGAGGCATCATTGCCAAACAAAAATTGTATACATTTATGGGGCACAATATATTGTTTTGATATATCTCTTTTATTGTGGAATGGTTGTGAAAATCAAGCTATTTAATATAACCATTCTCATTTATAATTATCTTTTCTATTTTTTGGTAGTAAGAATATTTAAAATCCACTCTCTTACCTAATTCTATGTGTGTAAGCCGGTATTAATTACAGTCACCATGCAGTATATTCTATTGTTGAACTTTATTCATCATGCTGAATTAAAATTTTAAACATTATTGGTACATTTGTAGTACATAAGGATGGCATTTATTATTGGTACATGACATTTCTTCATCGTTTAACACCTTACCTTCCCCTCTTCCTCCCTGCGTCTGTTGTAGCCCTTCAAGCATATCTTTGTAATACATGATGATGACATTCCTCACAGGACTCCGTGCATGCCCGCAGCCATTCACAATCACCCTCCCCCTGGTAAATTTCACTTCCCTCCCCTTTGAACCCTTGACTAACATCTCCCAGCTTGACCCATCTCCCAGCTGCTTGTACTCACCATTCCACTCTTTGATTATATGAATTTTATTTCTCTACTATCACATGCAAGTGCTGTGATACACTATGTGACTTACTGTGTCTAGTTTACCTCACTTAGTATAATGTCCTCCGTGTACCTCCATGTTGTCACAAATGAATTTTGCTGTCACACAGGAGTTTCTTCTTCTTGAATTCTTAATAATATTCCACTCTTTACATAGTCCACATTGTCCTAATCTATTAATCTCTCATGGATATTGAGGCTGATTCCATACAGTGGCTAAAATAAACAATACTGCTATGAACATGTAAGTGAAGATGTTTTTTCAAGGTACTTAATTCATTTCCTTTGAATATATACTCTATAGTGAAATTTGCTGAATCATAGGAAAGCTTTACTTTAATGTTTTTGAGACAATTTCTGACTGTCCTGTGCAAGGCTATTCTGATTTTCATTCTCACCAACAGGGGGTGAGAGTTCAGTATCTTCACATTCTTTGGCAACATTGTCCTTTTCTATGATACCCATCCTAACAGGTGTAAACAGAGATCCTACTGTGATTTTAATTTGTATTTTCTTCATGTTAGTGACAATTGTTCGTTAAACAATTTTTCATATACCCGTTGACCATTTGTCTTCTTTTGAGAAATGGCTACTTAGACACTCCTTGTTTTTAATTCTTTCCTTGTATTGAGTCAAGTTCCTTATAATTTTTGAAAATTAAATGATTATCAGATTCATGTCTGACAAATGTGTTCTTCCATTACATAGGTTGTCTTTTCACTCTGTAGATTATTTCCTTTTTTGTACAGTACATTTTATTTCATGTGATTACATTTATCTCTTTTTGCTTTTATTGCACATGCTTCTATGGAAATACCAGGAAAATTATTGCCCAGAACAATGTCATGAACCTTTCCTTATAATTTTTTCTGTTGGCTTTCCAGTTTCTAGACTTAATATTTAAACTTAATATAGTATTTGTTGATTTTTCTTATTATGCAAGATGAGGGTACAGTTTCTACATCATGTGGATATTAAGATTTTCAATACCACTTATCAATTTTTCTAGAAAATTTTCCTAGGTTATTCAGTGTTCCATGTTCAATATTTGATTATCAATGTTCTATGGTCTTCAGTGTATAGATCTTTTAACTTCCTGGTTCAATGTATTAGAAAGCATTTTATTATTTTTGGTATTATTATAAATGAGATTATTTCTTGTGGGAAATGGTAGAATTCAGCTATCTAGTTGTAAGAATAGATCACAAGAAGTTTGTTAACTAAGAAAATTAAGTTTCTGGGAAATTCCACAAGTCTGTTTGTTAAAAGAATGCCAGAAAACTTTAAGAGACCTTGTGGAAGTCTCATGGGAGAAAAACAGGTTTTCCTAGTTTTCTTATTTACCATTTTCTGGGATCAGAGGACCGCGACCCAATGACTCTACGGGTGGTAAGAGAGATACGACTCGCTATGCACATCTGTGATGCTTATGGTGGGCCGGTGGGCTTGTTTTGGCTGAGATCGTCCTGCTCTCTTGGTACCATCTGATAAGAAGAGGGCTGCGGTGTGCTCTTTGATGTACGGGATTGGTGAACGGAAACAGGGGACTTGTGAATTCGCCTGTAGCTTTTAGGAGTCACTTAAAGTCATTTGTCACCAGAGGTTAAAATCAGAAAGACGATAGCCAGAATAACTAAGCTGCTTTCCTCCATGTATAAAAGCCTTGCTTCTTCCCTTTGTGATGGTCGAATAGTGCAGAGGAATAAACTGCTGCTCGTCCCCCAGGCTGTCTCCTTTTCTTTCTTTAAAAGTCTTAAAAGTGCTTTCCGGGGTTCCAGATCTCCCTCAAGAGAGACCTTTATTAAAAATAAAAATCAACAATTTCTTAATTTACATTCTGATTGTTGTTAATTTACAGAAACACAGGGGATATTTTTTAAATTTTGTGTTCTACAGTTTTATAGATCTATTAATTTTAATAGGGTTTTTAATTTTTTCATTTATTTGTTTCCTTTAGGGTTTCCAAACAGAGATCTTTCCATATACCATAAAAGCAATTTTACTTCTTTCTTTCAACTTGGATATCTCTTACTATTCATCTTGCCTAATGTTTCTGGCTAATAATTCAAAAACTACATTGGATGAACATGGAGTTTACATCTTTTCTTTTTCTTGATTTTGTAAAAAAGTTTTGACTTTTAATCATTGAGTATGATGAGGGTTTGTCTTATATGGTTGTATTAAATTGTGTTTCATTTCCTATAATTCTTTTTCATTTTTTATCAGAAAAGCTGTTCAATTTTTCTTTTTTCTCTGCACCTGTTTAAAGATGTGTTGTTGTTTTATGAATTAAAATGGAGTACTGCTCAGCCATAAGGAATAAGAAACTAGAGACATTTATAGCTAAATGGATGCACATTGAGGCCACACTCTTAAGTGAAATAAATAGGACACACATGTGTAAATAAAAAATGGATAGTAGATAATGTGAAATAGGAATGTAATTGTTAATTCTTTTAATGTTACTTCTGGTAATGTTCATTCTATTTTTTATCATTCATTTGATTTGCATATCTTGAGCCATCATGGCAACAAATCCTACTTGATAATAATGAATGTTACTTTTAATGTAATGTTAAATAAATTCATTGGAATTTCATAGAGGATTTTAAAAATTCTATTATTTGGGATATTGACCTATAATTTTCTCTTTCATTTCCCCTTTGATAGCCTTTACTATTACAGCAATGTGGTTCTGAAAAATGAGTTTGAAATTGATCACCTCTTCAAATTTGGAAGATTTTTCAGGTTAGTATCAGTTCTTCTTTATATGAAGAATTCACCAATGAAGCCATCACATTGTGAGTTTTTTCCCCTTGGAATATTTTTCATTACTCTTATGATCTCATTCTGTAGTGGTTTGCTTATATTTTCTATTTCTTCTTATACTTTCTTTTAAGTTGTATGTTTCCAAGAAATTTTCCATGATCATCCAGTTTGTTGGTGGATTTGTTTGTGGTTCATAGTGGTCTCTTATGATCTTTGTATTTCCAGCTCTGATGTCTACTGTTACATTTATACTATCATTTTAGTCTTTCTTTCTTAGTCTAGCTAAACATTTGACATTTCATTAATCATTGCAGTAAGCCAACTCAGTGTAACTGATCTGTTCTATTTTTATTTTGATTATCATTCTCTTATTTATTTCTGCTCCTTTCTTTAGTATTTCCTTCTTTCTTCTACTTTGACATTAGTTTGGTCTTTTTTTTTTTAATTTCCTTCAGTTGTAGTGTAAGCTTGTGTATTTGAAATCTTTTTTTGTCTTAAGGCATGTATTTATTTCTATAAACTTTCCTTTTAGAATTTTACAGCTACAACTCATTGGTTTGGCAAGTATTACTTCTATTTTCATTCATCTAAAAATTTTTAAATCATTCTCTTTTAATTTCTTCTTTGTCTCATTACTTATTCAAGATTGCATTACTGAATTTCTAAATATTTGTGAGATTTCTAAGTTTTCCTTTATTACTTTCTAGTTTTATACTGTTGGTATAGATTATGTAATTTGAATGTTTTAAATTATATTAGAACTTGTTTTGTATTATGATAGTATTTATCTTTGAGAACATTCTGTGTATACTTGTGAAGAATAAGTATTCTGTTTTTGTTGGATGGTATGCTTTGTATATTTCTGTTGGTTCCATTTATTCTATAGCGTTGTTTAAGTCTACTGTTTTTCTTTTTAATTTTCTGTCTCAATTATCTCTCCATTATTGCAAGTAAGATATTTAAGTCTTCTAATATATTTATTGCTCATTATTTCTTTTTCAGTTCTGTTAATACTTGCTACATATTTTAAATAGTTCAACAGTGGATGCTTATTTATCATTATGATGGCATCTTAATGAATTGACTAGTGGACAATTATATAATGACCTTCTTTGTCCCTGGTGATAGCTTTTGATACAATCTATTTTGGTCTGATACACAGGCAAAGTTGATCTCTTTCAGTTACTGTGATAAGAATGTCTTTTTCCATTCCATCTCTTTTACTCTATATGCATCATTAAGTATGAAGTAAGTGTCTTAAAGGCAATGTATAGTTGGGTCTTATTATTTCAGATACTATTTGTATGTTGGAAATTTTAATGCATTTGCCTTTAAAGTAATTATCAATAGGTAACAATTTATTACTACTTTATTGCTTTCAAAATATTTTAAGTTTCTTTTTCCTTACCATCACCAAGAATTGAGAAATCTATGCCATAACATGAATTTATTCTTTATGTTTTATCTATCTACTGAATGTTTCTTCATTCAGATCTTCACGAGACTTAAATAAAACAGAATAGTTATAACTGCCTAGTTTAAATTGCTAATAATAAAACATCACACATTAACTTCTTTCTGTATCTTTTAATATTATTTGTCATAATTTATGCCATTTAAATATCATGTGTTAAATATTATTATATTTTATGTAGTTATATTTAATAATTTTGTTTTAACTTTTATACTATTTTTAGAAGCAACTTATACACTGTCATTACAATATTATGAATCTGAGTTCATTCTTATATTTATAGCTCTGTTAATTCACAAGTTTTCAAGTTTTTAATTATGTCCTTTTCCAATTAAAGAACTTCATGTAGAATTTCTTGGAAGTAAGCTCTAATGATGACAAAATTTTATAATTTTTGTTTGAAAATATATTTGTCTCTACTTCACTTATGGAGGACAGCTTCGCTGGATGCAGTTCTTTTGTTTAATAATTTAAAATTTGGAAAGGCTTTGAATTGGTCATCACACTCTACTGTTCTGCAAGGATTTTGCTAACAAATCCACAGACAGTTTTGTAAGTGTTCCTTCATATCAGATGAGCTGTTTTTCTCTTGTGCTTTTAAAAGTCTCACTTTGTTTTTCACTTTTGAGTACTTGAATTACAATGTGTTTCAGTGAAAATATCTCTATATTAATCTATTTGTCAGTTTTGAGCTTCATGGATCTGGATACTTAATTCCCTTTCATGATTTGTTGAATTCCTTATCACTATTTCTTTCAATAAGTTTTTGTCTCCTTTTCATTTCTCTGTTTATTGTCAAACTCTCATAATGTATAAAATAGCTCACAAAATGGTGCCCCATGAGTCACAAATGCTTTCATCATTATTTCAATCTTTTAACTTTGTGTCCCTTTAACTACATAATTTCAAATCATATCTTCTCAAACTCACTTATTCTTCCTTCTGCTTGATTGATTCTATTAAATGTCTCTGTGGAATTGTTTGGTTCAGTAACTATGTACAAGTCCAGAACAGAATTTCCATTGAGCTCTTTTTATGATTTCTGTCTATATGTTGGACTGCTATTTTTCCTCAAGTATTATTCTCCTAATTATTTTAGTTAGATATAAAAAAATAGAGATCTGTTGATTTGGTGGCTCCTTGAGCTGCTTCAAATTGATCATTTTGAACTCTGCCATGCAATTTTCATATTTCCATTTCTGCAGTGTTGGTTACTGGTGTCCCATCCTCTTTTATCGGTGGTCATACCAAACTGTTTTTATTTGTGATCTTTGTACCATTACATTTGTGTTTTCACACCTGAAGAAGCAGGCAACTATCAGTTTTTACACACTAACTTTGTTAGGGATAGACAATCCCTCACGGGCTTACTCCTGGTGTCCTCAGATAGGAGGACTGCTGCCTGAGTCTGAGGGGAGGCTTGGAGTCTAACTCCACTGGGGTGCCTGTAGCAGGTTTGGTAATTGTATCTACAGGTACAAACCTGCTGACTGAGTCTTCGGGTGCTGGCCTATCAACAGGTACACTTGGCTGGCCCTGATAACTGGGTACACATGTGCAGACTTCGAATATGAGTCCAATGAGGCCACTTGAAACCAGGGTCCACAGGAGCCCACCTAGTACAGGAAAAATGTGGAGCCTGGGTTATGCATGGAAGGTGGCCTGCTGCTAACAGTGTCCTCTGCTTAGATCTACACAAACTGCCCTGGAAACTGGGTCTACAGAGGACACACTAGCATTGAAGCTGGCTTGGAGCCTGATTCTGTGGGGATGACCCTTATCTTGGGGTCACAGACACAAGTCCATACCCTGGGGCCAAAAGGCTGTGATGCTTGGGCAGAGCAGTCCCTACAGTGGGAGGCTGGGCTGATGACAAGGTTTGTGGAGTGGGCCTGGTGCAGTGGTCTCCAGCAAGGTCTGGTGTTTGCTTCACTCTCCTTTCCCCAGGTAAGGTATCTTTCTACACCTTCTGCCTGAGCTAGAGAGAATGAGAAAATGTCCTTCCTTCTTTAACTTTTTCTCAACTTTTTCCAGTTCACTCAGATGCTAAAATTCCTTAGTTGACTTCCTTTTCTCTTATGAAGGTTTTTTCCTTCATGGATAGTTATGCAAATAATTGATGTTTCTGTGAAGAGACAAGTGTTAGAAATGTATAGTCTGCCTTCTATACGATCTCTAGCAAGGCATCCACCTTCAAGTCTAGACTCTAGTTACATCCAGATGCTTCCAATATCTAAACTGTCTCATTCAGTCTTATTTAGCAGATTATACCTCCCTTGTCTATCAGATGAGATTTAGTATACTGAAATTATGAGTATTTTATCTGTTCAAGGTACAGTACCATATAATTTGCCTGTGTTGCCTTATTCAATAATAAAAGCAGCTTGTGAATGAGAAATTATGGCTCAATCAAATTTACAAATGTGAAATGGAGTTCAAGTTCACCCAGAGAGTACACAGTAGAAGTCTTTAAATAAGATTTGTGTAGCTTTAAAGTCAGGAGCCTAACTGTTTCATTGTGATGTGCTTCCCAACACAGCTTTGAAAAATAGAGATAGAATTTTTGTTTAATTATAAATGCATATATACTTTGAAAATTAAGTTCCCATTGATTCCGCCTCAGTGTTCATGCTGTGTATTAGATACTTCATATTCTTTATCCTGTTTAAACCTTAAAATAAATATTGAAGTTGGTATGAAGCACAGGAGAGCAAAATGATGGACCCATAATCACCCAGTTAGTAAGAACTTGTGTTAAAACATCAATTAAAATATTGTTGATTGTCTTCATTGTTTTCACACTAACTCCTTAAATAATCATAACAATTATAGCCAAAGAAAAAATTGAACTAAAATCCTTATATCATTCTTAATTATGTAGAATATACAAGCATAAAAATATATACACAAAATGCCCTATTGTCTCAACTTGATCAGTTTAGGTTCTTTAGGCCTTACATGTTCTCACCTATAAATTAGGAATGATAATAGTTGAATAATTTTAATGAGTAAGTAGAATATCACACATTGTAAGCTTTATGTCTTGTGGACATGTAGGATGTGGTTGTCATATTTATTGTCAAGTTATCACCGAGTGTGCCGGGCACATTACTGTCTTACTCTATTGAAGGATTCCCTATTATAGGAGATGGGTATTAACTAGAAATAACCTTGGATGGAATCCAAGGTCAAGGATAGACACTGAGCTTAAAAATATTGCCCCTAGTTTTATCTACTTACAAAATAAAACAGGATATTTTTTAAAATACAGAGTTTTAAGGTTGAGCACAATTTTCTGCTTGAGAAATTCTGATTGTGTACCTTTTGGAAATGTTTCAGTTCAGGAAATTTTTTAACATCCTCATTTAACAAGTGATAATGAAGACAACTGACATCAGTGTCATTGCTAAACATTTAAAGGGAAGGTGGATAGCAACATACATCATTAGGGGGCGCTGTACAAATGGAAACTTTCTGAACTGTATACCCTAACCTTTCCTTTAGG